AACAATTTATTTACACATTTAAATGAAAATAGTCTAATGTTTATTATGTTTTTATTTAAGGTTCTTGTATGAAACATTGATGCGCGAGAATCAATTGTCAAACAGATTCTGTTTCGTGTCTACCTCTCATGTCAACGGAGTGCCAATTGTTCAAGATCCAGATTCAGTAAGAAATCACTTAGTTGGGAGATTCATGGCCAGCAGTACAAAAAGCTTGTATCTTTTACCGTATAATACGATTCCTGTGGGGTTAGTACTTCATTCTAAGTTCATTCTAATCTTTGTATCTTTTGTGTTGAAGATTTTCATCTAAACTTGTGTTTTAACTTATAGACATCACTGGTTGTTGGTTGCTATTGATCCTTTTAAAGAAGTGGTGTATTATTTGAATTCCGTAGATGGTGAATGGACAAATTATCCAGATATGAAGCTAATGATTGATACGTAAGTAAGATTGTTCTAAATATTCATGTGTATTTGTATATTTAATTATTTTTGTGAGATTGTTTTAAATATATGTTTTTATTTTGTTAGATCAATACAAGTATTCCGCTCTCAAAGGAATGCTCGAGTATCACGGTCTAGATCAAGCAACATTACATGGATTAAAGTGGAGGTACATTAATTTTCACAATTTTGCTTATAATAGTGATGTTACTTGATAAAACAAGACAACTATACATTCTTATTTGTTTTTCTATGTAGTGTGCTCAACAACGTAACAGTATAGATTGCAGATACTTTGTTTTGAGGTTTGTGAAAGAAATCCTTTTTTTGAATCGAATAGAGATTCCAATCACGATATGGATTTATAACTTAGGATTTATTTTAATATTTATCAGATATTTCATATAATTTATTACTTTTAACTAAATCATGCATATTATATTTTGTTATGTAGTACTTTGATGAATGCAAGTGTGCTCGTTACACGAAAAATTAATTGGAAGAAATCAAGGAGGAATTGTGTGAATACTTTATTCAGAAAAGAATCATATAAGCTATTGGAAGTTGAAAAGTGTTATAAAAATTTTTAATTGTGTTGGATCCAAGTTAGTTTAATTGACCGTGTTGTTCTATTCATACCTTATTTGCAGGACCAGGATCGTCCGCTCGTCGGATTTTGGTGATTTCAGGCTGAAACGAATTTGGCACATATCATATATAAGCGGATTCGAATAGAAGATTTTGTTGTACTTGAGTATTATCACATTTATACGAAATTCTTGGAGTTTGTTGTTCGAAATAGTCATAAATTTGTTCTTATTACAGTGCATCCTCCTCCTACTTAGTAGCAAACATGTGAATTGAATTATAATGGTGTTTATATTTTGGTATATATGGACATATAATGGTATTATAATGGTATATAATGCCTTTTTTTTGTATGTAACGGCTTCTTTGTTGAAATAAAGGGTCGTTGAAATGTAAGGCTTGAAGTACAGGTTTATGGGATCATTCCCAAAAATATGTCTTCTAAAAAAGAAAGAATACACAGCATTTTTACATAAAAAATGCTTAAATTTACATGAAGCAACAAATGTGCTTTTTAGGAAAAAGCGCTGTTAAACGCCTAGTTTAGAAAGCGCTTTTCCTAGAAAAGTGCTGCCTAAAAGTTCCTTAAAAAATACATTAGACAGCACTTTTGAAAGCATTGTCTAAAGGGGGTCAATAGAAAGCATTTTTTCAGGAAAAAGCGTTGCTAGAAGCCTACCTTAAAAAGCATTTTTCCAGGAAAAAGCGCTGCTAAATAATATATATGGCAGCGCTTTTGCGTTAAAAAAAAAGTGTTGTCTATATATACGACAGCGCCACCATAAGCAGCGCTTTTAAGCGCTGCTAAAGGGCAAAAAAAATGCTTCCTTAGGTCTTTTTTAGCGTAGTGTTTACATGGAGCATGCTATGTATTCTAGACAGATTTTTATCAAATCACCTATTGATGTGCTTACAGGTAAATCTCATATGGATGTCATTGGATTTGTCCCTGCTTGCTACAATTGTTTATCAATTTAGAATATATATATTGAGTTCCACGTCGAAAAGTTTTTAACACCTGAAAGTGTTTATATACCTCAGTTTCACTTTAAATTTCAAAACTTTAGTTAATGAGCTTCTAAAATATATATTGGACTTAAAACTCTTTATGAAGTATTTTAATAATTGATTTACAAAAATAGTTTCATAAAAAAAAATTAATGAGAAAATTTAGAAAAATTTTAAATTTTAAATTTTAAAATTTAATAGAATATAAAACATAATTTAAAATAAAAAAGTTAATAAAATATAAAATATAAAAATAAATAAAATAAAATTTCACGTGGATTAAAAAATAAATAAAAAATAAAAAAATTTCACATAGATTAAAAAAATAATAAATAAAAAATTTCATGAAAGATTTGTATCCTGTACATTTCACTATACATTTCACTATACATTTGAAAGACATGTATAAAATTTCACTATACATTTTGTTTTTGTATCTACTGATACATGAATTTACATTTTATAACTTTTGACATATAATAACTTGGTTTTTTAATTTATTTCTACTCTCAATCTCAAAGAGAAATCATCTTACATATTTTATTTATGTTTGTGCATTTTATATATTTATAAATGATTAAGTAGAATATTACTTAGTTGGGAAATACATTGTCTACTGGTAGTTGAGTCCCATATCAAAAGAAAGTAAAATCTATTGAGATAAGCAAGAATATAGAAGAACTTGAATACCCACATTTAAACATACTTACCTTGATGGGGTCAATGGTGGATCATGAAGGACCATGGCCAAGGACAGTGACCTCCATTGCATTTAGGAGGGGTGTTATTCTAAGGTCTACCTAAGTGGTGGAACCTACGTTAGAATTTATGAGATTGTTAAATACTTATTTCTTATTAGTTAGGTAAAAACAGTCTTTTCTTAAATTCTACATGGTTTAGGAGATTGTCAAATAAGCTCATTCTAAATACGTAATTTTCTTTTTAAATAATTTAACTCATAACTTAGTATGCTTAAATAATTTAACTCATAACTTAGTATGCTGAACAAGTTTGTTTTGATCTCACTCTTAGTTTTACTTATATATTCTTAAGATAAACAATCATGTTTTCTTAAGATACTCATAGAATACCTGCAACTAGTTGATACAATACATGCAACTAGTTGTCTATAATCCACATCGGTATTACAAGCAGAAAGTTGACATCATTTGCTTATGGATCAAAAGGAGGGTGCAGAGGTCGTCCAAAGGCTCTGTCAATCACCTTAGCAAACAATGATTTACTTAGATCTAACTAAGGCGTAAGAAATCATTTCACTATGTTCTTTATGGCCCTACAATAGGAGAGGGTCCACCAATTAGATCCAATCAATCTACAAACAAACATGTTTTTTTTAAGATGACGCCATTCTATGTTTCATTTAATTAATGCCAAAATGTGCTAAACAAATGGTGGCAAAATATCATTATCATTGTTATGAAATGCTAGGCAAAGCAAATTAAGAGGACAATAGAGAAGCAGTTTATCAAAACTGAGAACTAATCCTTAAAAGAATAGTTCTTTAGTGAAAAACTTATGTAACGGAATGAAGACATTCTTTAAAATAGTTAACATTTATTCTTAAAAATAGTACACTAATAAACTGATATTTATAAATGAATGAAGACAAGAAAGCATTGTGGGATGAGAGAGGAGGTAACATATATGAAGAAATTTGTAATAATTACGCGATATTAATGTGAAGCAAAAATAAGGAATGAGGTTAACATTAATGCAAGAGTCCCACCTCGCTTAGTGAAGGAAGAAACATAAAATATGTCAGATATAAAATACACGATTAGCATACATTTCAACTCATACCTTTCTCGGCCTTTTGGCTAAGATCAAGTGTAGTATCTGTTCTTATCAGTTTAATATCTGATATGTGGGCCAATGGTCCACACGATATTAAATTTATTTCTTGAGGGGGAGTGACCACTTCAATAGCTTGCTATTGGGTTTCTCAAGTGTTGCTTTTGTGTTGCACTACTACAATAGATTGGCACACCCCACCAAACCTAGTTCAAATTAGTGATCTCTTCTTATGTAATACTTTGTAGTGGTATAACAAGAATTCATAGGGAGTGATATTGGATAGTGACTCTAGCTAAAGAAATCAATTGGTATTTATATGTTTGGTGGTTACTGTCATACAAGTTTGAACCAAAAAACTCTTTGGAACATAGCCGTGTGCTGGGCTTCGTAAAATATCACATACAGCAGTTTAACCAAAAAAATCCAAAAACATGAATAACAGATAAATGATAGTATGTAACTAAACATACAAATGAACCTATAAAACCAGAAAATATATAACTCTTTTTTTCTAAATATATAGAGATAAAATCTATTCACAAAGTTATACGCAGACAGAATACACTCAACAAAATAAATCATAACCAATGAAGTAGTGAACTGCATACCTGGTATATCTTAGAGTATCAACGAGCAAAATTATAACTTGTGAATGCTGCTTGTTCAAGTTTTGGCTTTGTTCCCAAAACAGAATCAAATATCTAATGCTTCCTCTTACTTGGCATTCCATCTTCATTAAATCAACTAATGGACATTAAGAATATCAACAAGATGCCATTAATTCTATTAACTTTTTATCATATCTTGAACATTTTGGTTCTGTCCCAAAAGGATTTTGAAGTTCATATATACAAAATCACCAACATCTAGAGATTGCTGGTAATGGTGTTCACTTCAACAGAACTATGGTTCAAGGGGCTAGAGGTGCAGCAGCCCATGAACTTCAACTCTCAAAAATGAAATACTAGTTGTCAATGACAGCTGTGGGATTTGAACCCACGCCCTTTCGGACCAGAGCCTAAATCTGGCGCCTTAGACCGCTCGGCCAAACTGTCTTGATATATGATAATATCACTTGGTCTAATATTTTGATTGGGTCCTTTGAAGGACTGTCAAACTTGAAAGGAATGATACGAAGCAGACTATATTAGTATCCAACTCGGACATGTAGACGCACACCAAACTGTAGGTAAAATTAAGGAACATATGAGAAAGGATCCAAGAGGGGTATAGATCATGGTGTTTGTAAATCATAGAAATTTAAGCTAAAACATTCATACATTTTTAAGGAGTTCTAAGGCTAGACATGAAAGACCCAATTGAACCCAAAAAGAAAACTCATTTCATTAATATGTATTACAAAGAAACTCCCCTCAGGCAAAACTGGAGCCAATAGTGATTCAAGACCAAGTAGTGTGTGAACCAAATCATTCCATGACAAACAAAGCTATTTTTTACCAAATGAAGATGATAGAGAAAAAAACTTGGTATGGTGTTTGTGAATGTTGTTTCTTCAAGTTCTGGCTTTGTTTCCAAAACAGAATCAAATTTCTCTAATGCTTCCTCGTACTTAGCATTCTAGCAGCATTAAATCCAGAAAAGTAATGGACATTAAGATTATGAGTAAGATACCATTAATTCTTTGGTCCTAACCTACATTACAATTTCATATAGAAAATGTTTTGTTTCAGACATGTCTATCTTAATTTTATAAGAAAATATATATTCCTTGTTTTAATAAGTAAGTGAGTAATAAAGGAGAAGATTAACTGAATTCAGCTCATGTCTATATGTTATACATCGTTCTTCCATATTCGCCATTCGATTGTTATAGTTGGCTTACTTGCATGGTTTTAAACCGACGTTACAGTTACGGTTATGTTGCAAACTTTTATATGGTAGGAAAATACGGCAAATACGATGTTGCAGATACCTCAATACTTTTATGCTGCCTTTGTATAATCATTATGGATTTGTATTATTTGCAATTATGAAATCACAAAATTGACAGTCGTGCATTTTGGACCATCGGATCAAGATCCGATGTCTCACATCCGACCTTGTAAGGCCGCGGCATATGGGGGATTTCCTGACTACAGGGGTTCAAATCCGCAAATGCTAATAATAAAATGTCACAAATAATGATTGTGTAAATAAAACATGAGATACTTTTGAAACTACAGACAGTGTATTGAAATTTCTTGTTGAAAGCATTAACAAAACATACCTGGAGCAATATAACCATGTCTCCCAGCAAACCTTGTAACACCGAATTCAGCGCTTTTTGCCTCATAATCTTCATCAAGCAAGATGCAGCTAGATTTTATATCCCTACGAATAACAGGTGGAGAACAATCGTGGTACAAATAGCAAATCCCTATTGCTTGCAGCTCCCAATGCAATTTATACCTCTGATTCCAATGCCAATAAACGTTCTCATCTTTTATATTTCTATGAAGAGCTTCAAAAAGATTACTATTTGGCATATACCCAAAAACTAAAAGATTGGTTCCTCCTTTAAAAAAACAAGCATAAAATTTAAGCATAATTCTATGTCTGATTTTCCCAAAAATTTAGGCATAATATATTGATTAGGTTTTAATAGATAGAATGTCAGAGGACCATTTCTAAAATAACATATTAACCAGGCAGTGTTTCAATAATCACTTAACCGGAGGCTAGGCTAGGCTCACCAGGTGTTGTGGGCCGGAAGTGCAGCGGCCCGTGATTTGTAGTTTAAATAATGATGAAACTTACTTGAATTTCTCTGACTTTATTACCGACTACATCAGAGTTCCTGTGAAGAAATGGAAACCAAGGTTGACGGATCCATGGGCTAAGTAGAGAATCAGGGAAGCATTGCGAAAATGCATACAAAATAAACTAACCATATTGTTTCTGCATTCTCATGAGTAACAGGCTTATTCTTTGATGTTGAACATTTTGCGAATCCAGACAAAATGAAGAGCACAAACCTTGTCAGCTGATCCGCAAAAAGAATGGGTTTGATTTATGAGAAAGTCAATGAAAAAGGGTTTGGCGGTGGGAACAAAACAAGAGCGACTGAGAGCTCTATCACTTTCCTACTTCCTTCACCCGCCAAATTTTTATATTTTTACAATTCTATAATTAATATATAAATCATTTATATCATTTTTTTTTAATTTATAACCTAATTTTTTATTTAATTGTTTAGGGTGTTGCTACATTTATTTATTTTTTAAAATTATGAGAATATTATAGTTGTAAAGATGCATTTTACAAATAATTAATGTTTTGTTTTAAGATTTATCTATATCATACTGTTTCATGATCCTTATCGTTTTTTTTCTCTCATCTTCGAACTTGTTTGAATCCTCTCCACTCAATTATTTTCTTGTTCTTGTTAAATTGTAATTTATAGTGTCGAAAAGATTTGATTTATTTTAGATTTAAATAGATTTGATTTGATTTAGTAACAAAATACATATTTTGGGTTTTGGACTTAGGGTACAAGCTCAGTTATAAATAGAGGGAGTAACCCTTATTTTTTGTAAGCAAGTCAATTAAGTTGTATTCACAGAATTTGCGGTTGCAAGTGAATAATAAAGTTTTCCACAGTTTGTGGGCAGAGAGAGACTCTGCAGAAAATAACTGTCTTCTTTCTTTTCTTTTCGTTCTCATAATTCATTGTCATTGAGGAGAAATTCATCATAGATATTCCAACATCTAGTATCAGAGCTTTGTTTCGATTCAAGGGAAGTATCAATCAAGAACGATTGAAGAATTTACGATGACAAGTTATGGGAATGCAAACTATCCAGCAACCCTACCAATTCTGAAAGTTGACAACTATGAGAATTGGTTCAAACAGATGAAAGTCTTATTCGGGTGTCAAGGTCTTTGGGATCTTGTAAAAGATGGAGTCAAAGTGCTTGGAGAAAATGCTTCAGAAGAAGAAAAGAAGAAATACACAGAATATGAGAAGCTGAGTTATAAAGCATTATTTATAATTCATCAATGTGTCAGCCCAGACAATTTCGAAAAGGTTAGTGATTCAGAATCTGCAAAAGAATCTTGGGAAATCCTTGGGAAGTCTTTTGGAGGCGCTGAGAAGGTGAAAGAAGTGAGGTTACAAACTCACAAAAGGACGTACGAACTGCTTCAAATGGAAGACAGTGAAAGCATATCTGATTTCTTCACCAGAGTTACAAAACTAGTAAATCAAATCAAGATATGTGGAGAAACGTTAGCAACAAGAGCGGTTGTTTCAAATATTTTAAGATCTTTGGCCCCTAAGTTCGACCACATAGTGGTAGCGATAGAAGAGAGGAAAGACTTGTCGAAATTGACAAAGGAAGAGCTTCAAGGAACGCTTGAATCTCATGAACAAAAAATGAACGAAATAGCTACAGGAAAATCGAAGAGTGATGTGGGCTTGCAGGCACATTCAGCAAAAGAGACCAAAGGCAAAGGAAAGTGTTTTGACAGAGGTAGAGGTGACTACAACAAATCGAATGGTAGAGGAAACCAAATCGAAGAAAACGTGTCGAATTAAAGAAAACCATACCAAGGCAACCAAAGAGGTGGTGTTGCAAATAGAGAAAGAGGTGGTGGTCGAAAACCTGATAAGAGTCACATTCAATGTTACAATTGTCAGAAGTATGGTCAATATTCGAGTGATTGTCCAGAAAAATGAAAGAATCAAGAAAGTGATGCAAAGTTTGCAAAACATGAAGAAGAAGAGACGATGTTGATGGTCACAACAAAAGATGAAGATAGATTCAAGGACCATTGGTACTTGGACTCAGGATGCTCATCACATATGTTTGGAAGGAGAGACTGGTTTGTCAATATAAAGCCCTCAATGAAAAATATGGTAAAATTTGCAAATGACAATACCCTAGCAGCTGAAGGTATTGATGATGTTATGATTATGAGGAAAGATGGATAAAAGTCAGTAATCTCCAATGTTTTGTACATACCAGGCATGAAGAGCAATTTGCTCAGTATAGGGCAGTTGGTCGAAAAGAACTATAAAGTGTCAATCGAAGATAAGATGATGAGAGTCGTTGATACAAATGGGAGATTAATCTTGAAGGCTCCTATGTCTCAGAATCGAACCTTCAAGATTGAACTAAATGTGATGGAGCACAAGTGCCTTTCGACTGCAGCTAGCAGAGATGAATGAATATGGCATTATAGACTAGGTCATCTCAACTTCAGAGACATCAGAGATTTGAAGAGAGAAAATATAGTTTCAGGATTGCCTGAAATTGACATTCCAAATGAAGTATGTGAGGAATGTGTGCAAGCGAAGCAACACAGGAATAACTTCAGCAAGGATACGGGAAGCAGGTCGAAGGCTATTCTTGAATTCATATACTCTGATGTATGTGGACCAATCCGGGTGGATTTGATGGGAGGAAACAAATATTTTGTTACATTCATAGATGATTTTAGTCGAAAGCTATGGACTTATCTGATCAAGAAGAAAAGTAAAGTGATCGAAGTATTTGCCAATTTTAAGTTTATGGTCGAAAGACAAAGTGGTCGAAAGCTCAAAATTTTGAGAACTGGTGATGGTGGAGAATATGTGTCGAAAGACTTCTACAGACTATGTGAAAAGGAAGGGATTGTGCATGAGGTGGTGCCACCCTATACTACACAAAAAAAAAGGAATTGTAGAAAGGAAGAATCGAACCATCATGAATATGGTACGAAGTATGTTGAAAGGCAAGAATTTACCTAAAGAGTTTTAGGGTGAAGTTGTTTCGACTGCAACATACATTTTGAACAAATGTCCCACGAAGAAGCTAGAAGGAATCACTCCAGAAGAATGTTGGTCTGGTGTGAAGCCTAGCTTGAGTCATCTAAAGGTATTTGGATCTATTGCACATAGACATGTGCCAAATCAGTTGAGAGGAAAACTTGATGACAAGTCAAGTCAAATAATTCTAGTTGGATATCATTTGACAAGAGGCTACAAGTTGTTCGATCCAGAGAACAAGAAGATTGTGATCAACGGGGACGTGATCATAGATGAGTTTAAAGAATGGGATTGGAGTGGAAATGTAAAGAAATGTTCAGTGGAAATCATATTCGAAGAACCAGAAACTCAAGTCAAAAGAGAAGTTTGACAAGAGGAACCAGGAGATATACCAAGTACAAACAGACCTCAAAGAATAAGACGCATGCCTGCAAGATTGCAAGATTGTGTGATTACATTAGGTGATGTAATAGATAATGAAGGTGAACCGGTACATTATGCTTTCTATGCAGATGTCAGACTTGTTAATGCAGCTGAAGCATTGAAGGATTCGAAGTGGATGAAAGTAATGAATGAAGAAGTAAAGTCTATCGAAGACAACAACACTTGGTCACTTGTCGAATTGCCTCAAGGCAAGAAGTCAATTGATGTCAAGTGGGTATACAAAGTGAAAACAAATTCTAAAGGGGAAGTAACTTGACACAAATCAAGGCTTGTGGCGAAAGGATTTCTACAAAAAGAAGGAATAGACTTCGATGAAGTTTTTGCACCTGTTGCTAGGATAAAAACAATTAGGTTGGTTGTTGGTCTAGCAGAAATAAACAGTTGGCACATATATCAGATGGACATGAGGTGTGCATTCTTAAATGAACCCTTAGAAGAAGAAGTTTATGTTAAACAACCAGTTGGGTTTGTGAGACATGATAAAGAAAGAAAGGTGTACATGCTGCATAAAGCCCTGTATGGATTGAAACAAGCTCCAAGAGCTTGGAATAAGAAAATTGATAGTTTCCTAAGGGAGAAGAAATTTATAAAGTGCACAACTGAACATGGAGTATATGTAAGAAGAAGCAAGAGTGAATTGCTTATAATATGTCTCTATATAGATGATTTGTTGATAACAGGTAACTGTAAAAGTGAGCTCGAAAACTTCAAAGGTGATCTCAGCAAGGAATTCGAAATGTCTGATTTGAGTGAGATTTCATATTTCCTTGGAATCGAATTATACAAGAGCAATAGAGGTTTGATGATGCATCAAAGAAGATATGCAGGAGAAATACTCAAGAGGTTTGAGATGGAAGAATGCAACTTAACTTCGACACCTGTAGAACCAAGACTGCAACTATCGAAAGATGCAGATGAAGATGATGTTGATCCAACCCAATACATAAGACTTATTGGATCATTAAGATATCTTTGTCATACAAGGCCTGACTTAGTATACAATGTAGGTATGGTAAGTAGATTCATGCAGAAGCCAAAGGTATCACATATAGCAGCAGTAAAAAGGATATTGAGGTATCTCAAAGGAACTTTCAATTATGGTATTTTGTTTCCTGCAGCTGATAAAGGAAAAGAATGCAAGTTAGTGGGATACACTGACTCGAGTTGGTGTAGTGATGCTGAAGATCGAAAGTCAACAGTAGAATATGTGTTTATGCTAGGTGGTGCACCAGTTGCTTGGAATTAAAGAAAGGAACCAATAGTGGCATTATCATCATGCGAAGCAGAATACATAACTGCTTCTCTTTGTGCATGTCAAGCAACTTGGATGGTAAACTTAGTCGAAGAGATAACAAGGAAAGATCATGGAGCAATTACCATGAAGATGGACAACATGTCAGCCATTAATCTAGCAAAGAACCCAATAGCACATGGTTGAAGCAAGCACATCGAAATGAGATTCCATTATCTTCGAGAGCAGGTAGCAGATGGGAAGATGAATTTGGAACACTGCAGAATTGAGAATCAGATTGCAGACATCATGACGAAGGGAGTGCAAATCGAAGTATTCAGAAGACTAAGAGCCATGATGAACATAGACAATTTAGACACAATGAATTAGGTGGTGTGTTAAATTGTAATTCATAGTGTCGAAAAAATTTGATTTGTTTTAGATTTAAATAGATTTGATTTAAGTCTATAATAGATTAGATTTGATTTAGTAACAAAATAGATATTTTGGGCTTTGGGCTTTGGGTACAAGCTCAATTATAAATAGAGGGAGTAACTCTTATTTTTTGTAAGCAAGTCAATTAAGTTGTATTCACAGAATTTACGGTTGCAAGTGAATACCAAAGTTTTCCACAGTTTGTGAGCAGAGAAAAACTCTGCAGAAAATAATTGTCTTCTTTCTTTTCGTTCTCATAATTCATTGTCATTGAGGAGAAATTCATCATAGATATTTGGTGGATTTCCAACAGTTCTCTCTCTTAAATCCAAACATCACTATTTTGTAAAATATTGTTTTATAGGTGATATGTTTATAATAAGGGCATCAACTTTTGTTGAGGATAACTATTGTCTTCTGACAAGTCAAGCATAAACGATTATGCGGATAAAGATACAAATTTAGCATTAAGGTTTGATGGATTTGATTATCTGAAATAATCATTTACAAGTGATGTAGTTGTTGCATGTACCCATAAATCTTTTACAAGTGCAGGATAAACATATTCTTTCAAATGATAGAAGAAAATTTCACATCCTTGAGTAACGATATCATCAATAAGATCAAACTCACTTTTCCTCAAAATATCAAAATCTATGATGAATTCACAAAGAATTTATAATTCCTTTACAGGAACAAATAGTGTGATTTCAGACAAACCTTTGCCAACAAAGTCATCCAGAAGATTTTGCTATTGCTGTTGAAGTTGTGCTTGTTGATGATCCCTCATAGTTAGGGTTTTGGTAAAGAGAATGGTTTTTAGAAGATGAAAAGTTTAAAGTGTAAGTTGTGAAAATAGTAGTGATGTGTGTGAGAATGTATTGGTAGTGGGTTTTAAATAGTTTTCAAAGAAATGAATTAATGAAAAAATTAAATAGGGTAAACAAGCAATTGGCAAATGAGGTGAATGAAAATATTTCATGTTTTTTCAAGAAATAGTGAATCTCAATGGGTCACATCAAACATATGAATGGCTATACGTATGACACTTGTCTTACTATACGTTCAAATATTATGCTTTCTATCAATCATTAATAATTAACCCAGAATCCATAAGACAAACAAATGTCAGTGGACTTCTAACGAAATGACTCCTAGACAAACAAATGTCAAGGGACTTCTAACAAAATGACTCCTAGACAAACTTTTGTCAATTTGACTTTTTTCCAAATGAAACAAGTGAATACTTTGACTTAAATCTCCATAGGTGTTATTGTATAATTGTATGCGCTCCTAAAATATGTAATTTAAATATTTTGACTTTTAAATGCAGAAACTATCAGAATCACTATAACATATTCCTTCTGCTAGTAAATTGTGTACTTGTTTTATGATACCTTTGGATACTTATGTACACTGTTTTATGAAGCTCTTTAAATTATATAGATTTTTGTGGCTCGTGGTCGGTGTAAGTTGAAATGACAGGAGAAGAATTAAAGAAAAGAGCACCAATGAGCAAGAAAGTATAAGATGATTAAAACTTTTACTATTTGGTGTCTTTACAATTTAATATCTTTTTGATGCATTCTTGCTAATGCCAATTGTGTAAAAAAGAGTTGTTGATATATGTCACATGGGGCTCTAGCTGTAAACACATCTCACTTGAAAGCCTGACACAAGGAACAAAAACACCACTTCTAGCAGGCGTCAAAGAACGCAAGCACCACCACCGCTTCAAACAACCGCAACACCACCATCGCTTCATACTACCGTAGCACCACCACCGCCTCATACAACCGCAACATCTTCACTGCCTCATACACCAACAGCACCCCCACCGACTCAGACAACCGAAGCAACACCACTGCCTCAGACAACCAACACAGCACCACCGACATTTGAGGAATGCACATTTGTTCCTACTCCGGGAGTGACACAACATATTTTGCAAGGTCCAGCTGTCCATCACACCACGGTAGCGGTGGAGGAAGAGGAGAGGGACCAAACCGTTTCTGATGAGGAAGAGGAGGCCACAGAACAAGCATTTTCTGGTGGACAAAGGCTGATGATTAGCATTGTGGGCAATGGGTAAGAAATTTAGTAGTTTACGCACACTTTTTGATTGAGTGATATGTGTATGCATTGTATGCTTGTCATTAAATTGAATTAATAACATGACAACAGTATGTTATGTTCAGTTGTTCCTGGTTTCGGAAATTTTGTACATGCCGCACTGAATGGAATAGGCATCAGGCCTCGTTTTGTGAGTTTACCATCTCAGGCTGTTGAAAACAACATAGTGATTTTTAGTGTTCATTAATTGGACCGGTCTTCCATCCTTGTTTTTTTCCAAGTTTTTGTTCTAATTTATTACATGTTTAGGTAATCTTATTGGTCTATAATATGAAAGTTTGATTGATCTTTTGGATTATGGATTTAAATATGAAATTATAACTATAGGCGTTGCTAAAAATGATTGCATAGAATTTTGACTACACCAAATCTCATAGTTATACAAGTGAAAATCTTATGATTGAAGAGTAAATCAAATGTTCTTGTGGAATACAAGTGTAATGTAGAGATATCCTTCTCAAATCTGCATAATATTTCCCCTACCAATTTTGGATTGAAATGTATCTGGAGTCAATTGTTGATTACATAGTGCGGAGTCAAGTGTTTATTATGTATTTGGATGCACATTTTGTATCAGATTTTGATAAACTCGATTTTTGTTTTGTAGGTTGGCTCTAAGCAGTGTTGTTGCTGGAGTTATTAGAAAAATTTTAATAAAATTTTATCATGGAAATTTTGTACAGTATAGTGAGTTTAAAACACACGAAAGAAGAAAAGAGAAAAATGAATACTTTGACATTTTTAAAGTAAGATATGTAATTTATTTTCTACTATAGTACGATGATAATGTATATTTTTTTACAGTCTAATCAACAATGTTTCTCTTTTGGCAGTCTCTTGTTTAGTGGGAGCCGTACGATAATACCAAAATGCAAGATTTGTTTCATAAAGCTTGTAGTAGAAGAATATCTGATCTATTTGGTAAGATTAGAAAAAAGGAGACAAATGTGGATTGGATGGGGGAAAAGTATTATGCTTATCTTCTTGATGGGTGGCAAACGGAAGATTTCAAAAAGGTCTCTCGACAAAATAAGATTAATCGAGCATCAACTAAAGGGGGGGACAATCCATACCACAGGACGTAGAGCTCATCATGATGTTGCTATAGAATTGGTGTGTATTCTATTTGTAATTACAATGCGTAAAGATATTTATATATATGTTATTCATTGTAACCATATATATGTTGTCTTTATTTATAGAAGAAGAAGTTAGGCCGACCACCAAATCTGGACGAGCACTTCATGGCCACTCACAAAAAGAAGAATGGGCAGTGGGTTGATCGTCGTGCAGAGAAAACACATATAAGGCCTTTCTTGATTTAGTCCTTAAAATGCCATGAAATTGGTTAACAATATTAGTAGGAAATGGATAAACAGTATTTCTCATTTGTTCAATTTAGTCCTTAAAAGCCTTTTACTCCTTTGGATAGAATTAAAAATCAGTTTGTGATATTCATACAGAGGAAAATCTAAAGTCATATGTTAAGTTGTTTTCATATTATTGCATTGTATGTTATTAGGTATGTTTTTTTACTTGCATTTGTTCATGTTTTCAAATGTTTAGTTGTAGGCTTTAAATAGTGTATCTCTGTTATTTCACCCATATTATTCCACAATTTGAAATTTAGATGGCCATTTCTGAATGTAAGTGGGTTAGTTGGCCATTTGTATGTTACTTATCAAGACAGTTACTTATATTAGGGTGGACAATAAATATGCCTCAAGTTTACCTGAAAAAAAGTCATTTGTTTTGTATGCTATCGTATAGTTGCTGTCAATTTTTTTACATGTCAAACCTAAAAGAATGAGTTGATTAATGTGTGAGTTATGTTGAGTTGTTTGAACTAGTGTAGTCCATGCTATAGAATATACTGATTATTATCTTCTATTGTACATGAAGTTTATATGAATCGTCTCACACAATCCACCCAAAATGATGATAATGTGGATGGTCAGAAAAGCTACAATTATGAAAAGAAGCTGCCGACGGTAAGTCACGGGGTTTGTGTTATGGAACTGCCCGAATGGCGGTGAACATACAATATAGAGTGTCTTACTTGACACAAGTGACTGTTTCAAACCCGAATAGAGAAGCGGAGAGCCAAGTCATTGAGACGGCTAGAGTTGGGGCTTCTAGAGCATGTGAAGAGGCTACATTAGTTAGTGAAGAGGTTGCATTAGCTAATGCATGTGCGGACAAAGCTATAGCTGAGACAACAGAATTGAAAAGGCAATTTGAAAATTTGCATAAACAACTATTTGCTTGGCAATCGGGTCAGGCATATACTTCCATTGCTCCTTCTAGTGGCCATCCTAGAGGCCATTACGATGATGACTCTGATGTTCAGTCAGTGGATCTGGAGGAAATGAGTGAGGGATGATGACTCTGATATTTTGTGTTGGTATTTAGATCTTTATGTAGAAACATTGTGGATGGACACAAGTTTGATATTTTGTCAATATTTTGATGTAACTTTGACATCTTAATTAATGTAGCAATATCGTGGATTTACGCAAGTTTGTCATCTCGTGTTGGAGTTTGTATGTGATAATAATATCAAGGAATAATTTTAAATTACAAAATAGGTTTTGGTAAATTTTATGTAGAATTAATTTGGTTTTAAATAGGTATAAGTTTTCACATAAAAAAACACACTAGTGGCGGCTACAACGACGCTCTCACGCACCATCGTAGGCTTATAACGTCAAATGAGACCAACGCTACATTGTAAATCAAAAATCAAAAATCCTTTAGCGTCGGTTTACATAGACGCTATATTGCACGACTTTAGGTGTGTAGCGTTAAACATTTTCGACGCTAATTGAAAGCAGTCAACGCAAGAATGCCTCAGAAAACCTACGCTAAAACATTGAAGATATATTTAAGTGACGTTATAAACGTTGAAAAAAGAAGATATATTTAAGTGACACTATAAACGTTGAAAAAATTTGATGCTATATAAAAATATAAAAACAAAGTGGCTTTTAAACTACCACTAAGTTAACATTAGTGTCGATAAGGGTGGATGCTAAACGAAAAACTTATAATATTTTAGCGTCAATTTTGTTACTATAGCGTCTCACTAGCGTTTACTAAGACGTCCCTATATGTAGTGATGGTTGGACATTATGCTTTGCTTCCACCTTTAGTGTGTCTGCTTGACACCGACAATAAGCTGTCACTAACAGGTAGCAGCATTGATTTTTTGCTTAGCAACAACTTTTGGCCGACGCTAAATTTCTTGTAGCAGAGGGGTGGCGACCGTGATGCTGGCAGCGAGCCCTTCGTAATAGCAAAACACTTGTCATTTTCTCCACTTTTCTCGCACAGAAGCTTCTAACTATTAAGCACATGGAATAGACATAAAATACCACCATAATACTACAAAAGACATAAAAAAATGACACTGAAATGCATGCAAATTGTGTCAAAAATACAATACATTTTTTAGTTATCAAACCCCCCTACACTTGAATTCTAACTTGTCCTCAAGCAATTTAGCCAGCATGATAAAATAGTGAAAATGCGGTAATATATGTAAAAAAGAATTAGGAAACATAGCTAAACAATTACTTGTACGAAATACACAAAAATATTGTAAAGACAATCCCGCTTTTTCCAGTCAAAAACCTCCTTCTTATACAAACCAATTTGGATCATTGCCATTGTGTCAAAATCTAACTCTCCTATTTATTTTCATTCTCTTTCGTTCGAGATAGTCACATTAAAACCCTTTTATCTTTTACGCACATGTTAGACAAGCCGATTAGCGACTGTGATCAACATCTTATTAAATTCACATATTTTTTGCTCAAGAATATATTTTGAAAGTTTAACTATCGTTGGGGTAAATGACCTTGTGAGAGTCATCTAATTTAGTATATCAATATTCCTATACAATATATAAATTAATAATGTATTTAATAAATTATTTAAAATAAATTTAAAAATAAATGAAATGAAATATTTTTGTCTGGATAATATTTAAAAATAAAACATGTTGGTAGATATCTTTGTTACTCCAATGGATGGTAACCTTGTCATTATGGAAGGTAGTATATTGTCAAGATTTTTGTTACTCTAATGGATGATATCTTGTCATTATGGAAGGCTGTTGTCGAGATTTTTGTTACTCTAATGGATGGTAGCCTTGTCATTATTGAAGGTAGTCTGTCGTTGTGATTTTTGTTACTCTAATGGATGATAGCCTTGTCATTATGGAAGATAGTCTGTTGTCGAGATTTTTGTTACTCCAATGAATGGTAGCATAATCATTATGGAAGATAGTCTGTTGTCGAGATAAGTTGCATTATGGAGCATTTTGATATAACAAATTTTTAAACAAGCGGAAGAAGAAGTAGCATTTCATATAGTAGCATTAGAAAATCAAAGATCACAATTAAATGAAAAGAATAGGAAGCAACACCATTGAAAAGTATGAAGTTGTACAAAAGTAGAGTTAAAAGTATGATTAATGAATTTGGAGTAAATATATAATATTTAAATATTGGGTCTATTAATAATAACTAAACATAATTGACACATAAATATTTCAACTATTGACAACTCTGATGGATAGAAATACCCTACTTTATTTAGAAGGTAGATAAGAATTCACCCTTAAATTAATAGAAGATTTAAATAATTTTAAGGAGAGACTTGATTTCTTGATTTCTTTTGGTTGTTGAGACAGAGACTATAGTGCATATATAAATACAGTAAATAGAAAGATTATTTTGTATCCCTGAATATAATTCAGATGATAGAGTTATTACATTATGTATTCAAGGATTGGAAAAAAATAAAGACAATATTCTAATAAAGTCTATGTTTTTTTCGTCTATAGATGAAATAGTAAATAAATTTTGGCATTCAGCTTAACAATATCGATATTTTGTTAGTTAAGTTAGGCAGTTAGTCTTGTGGATACATTTATGTTTTTTCTATCTAAACAAAGTAGGCAAAATAACATCATTATTTTTTTTGGTAAATGATAGAAAAATAGCTAATGTATTATTTTGTCTTTGCAGTAATAATGAGAAAAGTTCTCCGAATGTCGATCTCATGGACTATGTATAAATATGGAGTTCGAATTATTGTTCAATTAAACAAAAATTAGAGTTTGAGTTTGATTTTCTAAAATAAAACAATCGCGAATAAAATAAATAGATGCGAAAGACTGTTTTGACAGATATGAGTAACATATTAGGAAAGATGTATGATTTGTCTTGTAACTACTTGAATTCTGATCTCTTCAACAAATTCATATCCTTCAATTACCAGCTCTTTAGATTATCTTCCAGTGGAAAAACCGTTAATCATCCATCCTAAAGCCTAAGTCTTTAGAGATATATGATGAAACCAAGTCTTTATTTTATCAATGGTTAAATATGATAACTATAGGGTATCTCTAGTCCTAAGTGATATCTACTATAGCCTAATTATACAAAAACCTTAACAATCAAGGTCCAGTTGGTTGTTAACCATAAATCCATCCTAATATAGACATTGCAAGGATTGGGATGAACTTTGATCTTCAATTGCTTCCGCGTATGAAAATATCACGCTCTGTGAAAACCTTGACTTCTCCAATCTTCAGTCGTGTAAAACTATTCTTCCCTCCAACAAAAGGTCAAATAGTCTTATAAATCAAATAAGGATTTTCACTACTAACTCAAACTGGATCGAAAACATAAATCAGACCCGTAACACGACCTGAAACAACTAAATTTCTAAAGTCTACATTTTCGAGGCTTCTACAATCTGAATCAGCTTCTGACTTCAAAATGAAAGTTGTAGCTCTTTCTCTCAGTTTTCCAACAAATATTATAACGCGTCGATCCGATTCTCGTAGCTCCAGCTATAATTTTTTTTAGTGAAAACTGATCAATTAGCGCATTTCTGACAGGCCCGTGTTAGGTGACACGGGTGGCCATGTCAGACCTCCTGAAGCGTGTCAGAAACTTTTCTGAAACTCTGAATTTTATATTTTTTTCGCACTGATTTGTCCCGACTTATTCACGTGAACATGAAAATAGTAAAACACACAATCAACGCATAAAAAGTAGCAAAATGAAATAAAAAATTTGATAATAAAAAGAAAAGACAACTGAAATTAATGATAAATAACTGTGTAAAAATCACTGATCAATAAACCAACAACAAATGTTTTTCCATATGCACTAATTAGAGATAAAATTCATGGTTAAAAGACTCAAATATCTATATTGATAATAACGTCATAATTTATTTATCGTATTTAAATCAAACTTATAGTGTAAAATACGCCATAATGTATTTATCTTATTTAAATCAACACGTCAACAATCAAACCAAACTCCTCACAAAGATAAATTCACAAGCACACAACAAATTGATCCTAATTTCCCCTACACAAAACAAACAAATCACGTTTCATCAATTATTCACAATAAAACTTGAATCCATAGTCACTGTCCTACAATGTTTTTAATGTTTAGAGAAATAGTTTATCAAAATAGAGAACTAATCCTTAAAAGAATAGTTCTTTATTGAAAAACTTATGAAAAATAATGAAGACATTCTTTAAAATAATTAACATTCATTCTTAAAAATAGTTCACTAATATTGAAACTGTCATTTATAAATGAATAAAGACAAGAAAGCATGGTGGGATGAGTGAAGTAAAAATAAGGAATGAGGTTAACATTGATGCAAGAGTCTCACCTCGCTTAAGGAAGGAAGAAACATAAATATATGTTAGATATAAAACACACAACAAGCATGCATTTCAACTCGTACCTTTCTCGGCCTTTTGGCTAAGATCAAGTATAGTATTTGTTCTTATCAGTTTAATATCTGATATGTGAGTCAATAGTCCACATGATATTAAATTTATTTCTTGAGGGAGAGTGATCACTACAATAGCTTGCTATTGGGTTTCTCAAGTGTTCAAATTTATGATCTCTCAACACTTTGGAGTGCAAAAATTCATAAGAAGTGATATTGGATAGTGACTCTAGCTAAAGAAATCAATTGGTATGTTTGGTGGTCCTGTCACACAAAGAGTCAAGTTTGAACCCAAAAACTCTTTGGAACATAGCCGTGTGTTGGGCTTCGGTGGCTTCAGTTTTCCATAGGTCATTAAGAAAAGGTGTGGAAATGTTTGAAAATAAGCTTCCATCAATGACAAGATAGAGTCAAGGAAACTTTAAAAATATCACATACAGCAGTTCAACCAAAAAATCCCAAAACATGAATAACAGACAAATGATAGTAAGTAACTAAACAAAAGAATGAACCTATAAAACAAGAAAAATATATAAATCCTTTTTTCTAAACATGAAATATCTACTAGAAACTCCACTAAGCCTGAAAATATTAAATAGAGGTTTAATATTG